ACAATAGCCAAGACATGGAAACAACCTAAATGTCCATCAAAAAATGACTGGATAAAGAAGTTGTGGTATACTTATACAATGGAATACTACTCAGCCTTAAAAAAGAATAGAATAATGCCATTTGCAGCAATGTGGTTGGACCTGGAGATTGTCATTCTAAGGTACGTAAGCCACAAAGAGAAAGAAAAATACCATATGATATCACTTATATGTGGAATCTAAAAAAAAAAGCAAACAAACAACAAAAAAACTTATCTACAAAACAGAGTCACAGACATAGAAAACAAACTTACGGTTACCAGGGGGTGGGAAAGGATAAACTGGGAGATTGGGATTTGCAGATACTAACTACTACATATAAAATAAACAACAAGTTCATACTGTATAGCACAGGAAACTATATTCAATATCTTATAGTAACTTATGGTTAAAAAGAATATGAAAACAAATATATGTGAGTTCATGTATGACTGAAACATTAAGCTGTACACCAGAAATTGACACACTGTAAACTGACTATACTTCAATAAAAATATATATACAAAAAGTTATTAAATGGACTTAAGCCATTATTTAATTTTATTTTCTTATTTTTTTAACAGAGTGTGTGTATTGGTGTCATTAAAAATTAGTAAAAATAAAGTATAATGAACAGCAACCAAAATGTGGAGTAGGGTTATTCAGAACAGAGTATCTGCCTTATCTCTACAGGCCCTTTGTTTTCTTATATATTCCCAGTGATCTAACACTATCATTTTAGCAATAAATCTAAGTGTGTTCCTTAACTCCTTTCTTCCTCATCCTCCACGTCTAATCTAGGATTAATTCAAACCCATTCTAATAGTGAGTAAACTCTCTGAACCATCATTCCCTCTTCATCTCCACTGATGATTTTAATTTATGCTTTCTTTCTAGGTTTTCCCTATGACAAAAGACTCATTACTAGTTCCTTGCTATCTGCCTTCAAAACTCTCTTTCCAAGTAATTTTCCACATCATTGACAATTTCATTCATATGTGTCATTATTCACAGTTTCCCCTAACAAAGACCTCAGTTGTTTTCTTCTTGGATGAAGGATGATAAAGTCAGCACTTAGTATCAGTCTCAGTCCCCAGGACTGAGGCAAGTACCACTGGTATCACTGATGAATCTCAGTAGTCTTTCGGGCTGATACTAACTCTGACTTCAGACTCCCTCCTAACATGATCCATGTAGCCACCACAAATAGTCTGGAGTCTGTATGAAGATGACACCGAGCATGCTTTCTTACAACACTGAACTGCTGCATATCTAACAGTTGTTTTTCTCTGTCAGTGGCTATTTCCATATTGAGGAATAAAAATGATGAGGGGTTACTGATGACTTAAAGAATGGAGCAAGAGATTCAGGTATATCCTGTAACTGAGTGTTCTTTTCAGATACTTTACTCTGATTTTGAAGATCTAACAACCTTAGTCACAATATTTGACCAGTAACTGACCATGTTCTAGAACTGACCCTATATTCTATTATATGTTTCCCAAAATAGAGTTTGGTGGAAGCTGGCATTTAATTGTACCAGATTTGAAACTACAACTGTTACTAAAGCTTCAGCTTTCACCTACTTTTAAACAGACATCATCTCAATGGGAAAGAGAAAAATAAAGAGAAACAGCCCCAGGAAATAGCAGTCGAGAGAACAATTAGGGAGCAGTCAAAAACAATCAGAAGGTGGGGGGGAAACAAAAACCTATGATTCTGGACAAGTTTAAATAAGGCGGTGTCAAGGCAATGAGAATGAGATCACTTCAGAATAAGCAAAACTACCACAGAAAATAGATGGGGGTTCACCATGACGTAGACAAACTGGGGATTTATCTTGAGTGTGGAAATGTCATCGAAAAGACGTCAAATGAAATGGGCAGGAGTAAAGAATACAAAGATATGAAGGAAAAGAATTATAAGTTTGAGTCAATTCTTAATAGGAACCTAATTCCTAAACACATGAAAAAAGATAGGAAAAAATGAGTGAGAAACAAGAAGAGTTAAGTAGACCTCGGAGTGGATGAGTATGAAGAATCTGGTATCAGACAGAATGAAAAGAGAAGATGTGACATGTCAAGAAAATTATTTAACATCTTCCTCAGGAGAAGGATGATTTTTAAAAGAGGAATTATTTCAGCAGCACATTTTAAACTGACTTCATGTGCCTTCTATAGAGGCTGAGGGAATCATTACTGATTTCAATAATGGTTTTAGAAAAAAAT